AAAAAAAAAAAGCAAGTGCTTTATTTTTATGCAAGTAATCAACAAAAATAATTTTATTTAGAAAGTTTTTCATGCTTGGTGACTCTGGAGCCATATTCAGTTTATATTTTATATTAATAGTTTCTTTTATTTTAATTTGCCTTTTTTAGAAAGAAAATATAAATCCTAAAGCACTAAGTCTCAAGGGAGGGAAATGTGGGCTTTCTCAGCTCAATTGGACAGTTATTTTCAAACTACAACCCCAAGGAGTCTGATTCCCCCTTGCCTTCAAGAAAGTACTTTTTGCTTAGGGAGTCAGCACTGCTGAGTGGGGCAAATAAATATCAAGCCATCATACTAAAAAGAAAAAGCACACAAAGCTGTTAGGATGACAATGCTGAGTGCTACAAAGGGAAGGCTCAGGAAAGGCTACAGAATGAAAGAAAAGCATACAGAACAAGGAACTGCATCTGTCAAGGACGCCTCTGGGGAAGGGGTGTCTGGGCTGAGATCTGAACGGAGAGGGCTGGCAGGGTCTGTTCCAGGTGATGACAGGCACAGACTGCCGTGAGGCAGAAGGAAACAAGCCAAGGAGGCCACCAGCTTCAGTTCCCGAGTACCAGGGAAGAGCACGCCCTGCTGGGACCTGCGCGTGCACTCCGGCGCCCGGAGGGGGCACGCTACCTTCAGCACGGCGTGCACGGCGTCTGGACCGAGCCGGCCGTCCACTCGAGTGACCCTGTACTCCAGCCACTGCTGAACCACCGCCTTCTCCTCTGCGGTGCTTCCCAGCAAATGCTCCTTGTTGGCCTGCTTGACGAGATGAGCTGCTATTGTGGTCAGTCCTGTCAGACTTGGGCCATTGTTCGTCTGAAGAACTGGAATCTGAACAAGAGAGAAAGAGTTCTTCAGATAAAATTTAAAAACAAATACCACCACGACTGTAAGTTCCAAGCAACTGTTACTTCCCAAACTGGGTTTTCAAATACTCTGATATTAAGTTACATACAAATGAAAGTCTGGGAAAGCGCAGTCATATAATTTACATTTGATAACAGATGCTTGATGATTTGAAAATGGTAATGACATTGCAAAAATCAGTGTCATGTTTCTACATAGTTTATAACTACGTACGCACAAAAAGAGAAAATGGAAACCCTAATAATACCACATTAATTTCGATCAAGGTTACTCATACCCTATTTTAGCAAGGTGAACGAGCATACTTAAATAAACCTGACTTCTGTATTAACAAAAATAAGAAACAATTACAGTGAACACTGAATTCATGTTGATATAGTTAGAACCACCAAATGAGATCTAGGTTTGTTTAAGTGATACGTGATCTATCTAATATAATTAGCAATCTCATTAACTAGGTGTGGACTGTGCTGGTGACCTTGTTGCGATGGACTGCATGTCCACCAATTTTGGAGTCATTTAGAGTGAGGTCACTGATAACAAAAGTCTAGTAATCAAGTCTGGGCTTCAGGTAGTCACCTGAAAAATAACTGTATTTTTTATGTTTCCCCTCTTAGAACAGCAATACAAAAAGATCAGATTGTAATAAATTGCTAATTAATTTAATTGTTTTGGATGCACAACTAAGTGAAGCATTTTCAGAAACTTGAAAGAAAATGGAAAGTATCACCAAGGGGGAGACTGACCAATGATAAATAACAAGTACACAGTCTCAACCAGCTAAGGAAACCAAAAGAGTATTTCCTCAGGAAGACGGCTGCTCTTTCCAGCCGTGAAATAGCATCCTGAACTCGGACAGCGGATTTGCACCGCGCAGGGCCCTTGCGCACACACACACGGAGGTCAACGAGACCATGTGAAGTACACGTAACAGCTTATGGACACAGCTAAAGGAGGGAACTCAGCGTCTTCTCAGCTTTCCACTTCCTCGCCGGCTGGTTGCCATTCACTACTCAGCTTCTTGACCTGGCACTTCTGCCTTCACACTGCTTCTCCTCTGGCCTCCGGCTGATTCCTCCCTGTTCTGTCACTGCTTCCTAGCTTGGCTTCCAGTCTAGAACTGAAACCATTATATCTAAAGTCACATATATCTAATGCATTAAAAAATGCGTTAAAAGAAAACAACATGGAACTCGCTGGGACTGCTGCCAATGTTCTGTTCCTTGACTGTGTGGTCATCTGGGTGCGTGCACTTGATGGAAGTTAACTCTTTGAGGTTTGTGTGCTTTTCTGAATGCATCTTATACTGTACAAAAAAAAAAAAGAGAGAGAGACAGAAAGAGAATTCACAATTGCTGAGTGTGGGGGGAAAATGACAATTCTAAAGAGAATTATTTGTAAAAATAAATTATCCACAACCCTATCACACTAACTCAAAAAATTCCCAGTTACTTTCTCATCTAATCACTGTGTCTTCTAAGACAGGAAGTAATCTCATCTTCAGTTTACAGGTAAAGGACCAAGGCTGCCAGGTCTGTAATGGCAGAGTCAGGGTTTACATGTAATACAATTGGCTGGAAAGTCCATTCTTGTCCCTTTGCGCAGTCTAAGTATGAAAACCTGCAGCTACAATCATGGGACACAAACTATTTTCACATTCATCTTAAGGTTCCATGGTCTTCAACGTTACCGCATTCAGTGGCTCCATAAATAATATTCCAGTGTGCTGACGTACCATCATTTAATAAACCATTCTCCTAGAGCTGTATTTCCAGACTGTTTTCAAATTTTAATTATTGATAATGTTGCAGGGGGAGGGTATAGCTCAGTGGTAAAGTGTGTGCTTAGCATGCACGGGGTCCTGGGTTCAATCCCCAGCACACACATTAAAAATAAATAAATAAACCTAAGTACCCCCCCCCAAAAACCCTAAAAATAAAAAAGATAATGCTGCAGAGACTGCCTTATTGCTGGCTTACTGCTGTCAGTTGTCTTCCCAAAAATGAATGAATCTTATCACATACCCTCGTCCCTTTCCCCAAACACATACACAGAAACTATCAATAGTGGTCCTGTGCTTAAAAAAAGTTTTAATTAAAATAAGAAACCACACTCTGAACTCCACAGCCCTCACAAATGGGCCTCGTACTATAATTCTGAGCTTACTCTGGATTGCATCATTCATCATGTTGTTATACTTGCTGCCCCGAATCACTCAATCTTTCACCATTTACTGGTCTGATGCACTTTAAACACCAGCTTTTCATGACGTTTACAAACCCATTTTTATAGCAAAATTAACTTTCTCTTCCACACTCCTCAACAACGCTTTCCTCCACTTGGTAAACTTTTTGTTCTGCTTAAAATAAGTTGTCAATGACTATTTTTCATACTGGATAAAAAGCTCCGTGAAGGCAAGACTCGTGTTGACAACGTACCCTAAAAACTAGAAACCAAACCAGGAGGTGGCTGCAGAAGGGGAGGAATCAGCGGGAGGCCAGAGGAAGAAGCAAAATGAAGGTTCTCTCTGCACCAATCAGTGGGCTGGTCTTAGGCAAGTCATGGATCCTTTCCAAGACCTCAGTTTAATTTTCGTGGGAAATCTACAACACGACTGCTTTGGAAACAAGATTTTAACATGGACCAAATTAAGAACAGAGAAAAGTAAGAACAAAAACAAATGTCATTTAGAAAAGAATCTCGAAGAGACAAAAAACGCATATATCACAGTTGTCGTCCTCCAGTCATTTCCTCTAACACATTCCCTCCACGGCAAATAACCACCTTTATAAAACAGAAACGCCCCTCGATGCCCTTAGAAATCTGAGTCCTTACACCTCACCAGTCAGTCTCATGTCGGGTGACTTTCTCCCCCTCGTTCTCTGCAGGCTGCACACTGACCTTGAGAAGCTGAACCTCCCGGATTGGGCCAAAGCCCACCGAGTTCTGCCAGCCGTCTGCGTTTCAACGCGGCACTTTCCAGCACTGTCAGGAGAACAGCTGCAATGCTCGTCCCCCCAGCTCACGACCGAGCTTCCCGAGGGGAGGGGCATGTCGGCCGCGACCGCCGCTGCACCCCGGGTCTAGCGCGGTCACCTGGAACCTGTTCGCCCTGCGCCGCAGTCGCGTGATTCGGAGTGAAAGGAGCGGTTACAGTAGCTGCTGTCACTGAGCGCACACGCGCGGCCTCCACCCTCGCCCACCCCCGGGCTCTCTGAGGACCCCCCTCGCCTTCCGGGAATGGGAGGATGACAGCG